CATGTCATTCACATCATTTTTCAATCAATATATTTACCACACAAGCTTACTTTGGTGGCGTCACGGGACCAATCGCATGCCCATACATGTGGGTTAGCGCATATAGCGCTAACACGGCCCCGCAGCACCCTACCTCATACCGCAACATGAAGGGATTGACCGCAGCCAACCGATTAGACCGTTGACGAGCTCAACGGCGGACCAAAGTCCTACACACCGCTGACGTGCTCAGTCGGTGGACTGTGATTCTCTTTGTGTACTGTGACCCTACACACCGCTGACGAGCTCAGTCGGAGGATCGCAGCCCCTGTGAGACCGCTGACGAGCTCAGCGGTGGACCATAGTCCTACACACCACTGTCGAGCTCAGTCGGTGGACTATGATCCTCTTTGTGGATTGCAGCCCTACACACCACTGACGAGCTCAGTCGTTGGACTGCAGCCCATGGACCACAGTCCTACACACCGCTGACGAGCTCAGTCGGTGGGCTGTAGCCCATGTAGATCAATTTGACAGCAGCCAATATTGGGGAGTCATGCACATATAACACGTAGCAAGCACATGCAATTCATATCAACACATTGGGATAGGGGGGAAAAACGTAGAAAGAAACTTATGCATGGCCATCCACATACTTGGAAATACCCTAAGGGTCCATGCATCTTTCACCTAGGTTAACGGGTACCAATTCAACTAGCATGCAATACACAAGACTATTTTATCCTACGAACGGTACCTGAAACATCAAACTAGACTTAGGCACGATAAATAGAGTCCGTCGGGACACCACGAGGGTCGGGGAACATCAAACGGGGAAGCCAACATCCCAATGTGGGGAAAATCCAGCGGGTGGCCGGCGGCTGGTCCTCCACCCGCCTGCGGCAAACCTTCGGGCAGTGGCTGCCCGCCGACTACCCGCTGCCGGCGATGCCGAATTGGGCAGCGGGTAGGTGGCGGGTCCTCCTTCCCCCACCTACCCCCACTGACTCTCTTTCAATACTTTGGTCCCGGGATCTCTTGTGGATCCCGAAATCATGTTTAGACACTTTTAAACACAAATGACGACACCACGTAGTCAAATAATGGATCAAAACCAAGAATCATATTGAACATATCCTAACATAACTTCTAAACATAAGTAACACCCGAACATGCAAAATCCCGCCCAAATATACCAAGAATATCACAATACGAAATTCCCAAATCAACCTAGGGCTCTAATCATATTCATATCATCAAATTCACTGTTTATCTTTAAGATCAAGAACATCAAGATTTATCAAGAACATCACACAATTATCAAGATCCTCTCATAATCATCAAGATTATCAAGATCAACACATAAGATCATTTCATCAATTATCAAGATCATATCATCATCATCATACACGATTTATCAAGACACAAGCATAGAGAAGGAGCCAAAGAAGAAGATTATAGTAAGGAAAATAAGTTTTGTTGAGACATGGGTTACCTCTTAGCCTTAATTAAATTCCTTGGCTATTAAGGGTCTTTCTCCAAGATCTCCTATTCTTGATTTCTCTTATGTTGGTGATAAGAGAATTCTTGGGAATTCTTGTGTGGTGATATCTATTGTGGTGTCAATTCTAGGTGCCTCCTATGTCCCTATTTATAAGCCTAAGTGTCCTAATTAGGGTCTGAATGATATGGGCCTGCTAATTCTATTTCTTATAGGAATATGGGTTTGGTTTTAGGGATAAGGGTCCATGGTTTATGGTGGACCCTTCCTAGTTAACTGATGGGAATTAATTCTCTTTTTAGGGTACATAATTAAATAATTAGTTCGGGTTAGAGGCAGTAACACAGGGTGTCACTCTATTATGTAGTATATTAAATATTAATACGAATTTATATTTGAAGTCTCAGTAATATTATATTCTTTTCATATAATTCTTATAATATTTTATTAACACAATATAACATGAATTTACAAGTCATTTTTCGTGCATCGCACGAGTATCATACTAGTTGCTCTATATAGCTCACAACGCTCCCGGGTGAAACGGATTATCATATGGAAAATGAAAGAAACAAAATGTAGGGAAAGATAAGATATAGAGTGTAATGTTAATCTTTTATTCCAACAACCTCTTTGAGTACATAATACATGTGATATGTATATAATTACAAATCGTAACAGAAAACATAAATGGAGACATAAATACGACAGTTACATAATAATGTCCACATAATGATAATATTTCTAACACTCCCCCTCGGACATTATTTTTCAATAATCATGCCTTGTTAAAAATTCGCTAGAAAAATCATGTGGGAAAAACCTAGTCGAGAAAAGAGTACACGATATATCGTAATTCATGTGTTGTTTCGGTTTCTGTTGTGGTGTGATGTGTGTGATGATTCCTGTTGTGGTGTGATGTGTGTGTGGCTTTACCTGGATTGCACGATTGGTGGTTTTGTTGGCGGTTTGTCGGTGGATGGGGACGACGGTCCTCGGAGGGAAAAGGTTAGACTCGGT